TGAATTAAAGAAATTCAATATAGCTATAGAACTAATAGATTCAGAAAAATAAAATTATAGTTTCTCCTAAAACAATATGACTAGATGAGGTATTCATTAAGTCTCTTAAAATCTTTTTATACAAGTATATATTTTCCCCCCCCTTTTAAAAGATTTTATTTGAGAGAGAGAGTACGAGGAGGGGGAGGAACAGAGGGAGAGGGAGAAGCAGAGTTCCTGCTGAACAGGGAGCCTGATGCAGGGCTTGATTCCAGGACTCCGAGATCATGACCTGAGCTGAAGGCAGATGCTCAACAAACTGAGCTACCCATGCGCCCCATTTTTCCCTTTTTATGTCACTTTGCAGCTTATTCCTGTTGTCAGTTTACATTGAGAACCTTCTTGGACACTTTTCTAGGTGCTTGGGCTACATCAGTAAAGAAGGATTCCTGCTCTCTAGGAGCTTATATTCTATCAGAGGAACACATAATAAACAATACATAAACTAATATGTTAGAATGTAATAAGATGCAATAGAAAAAAGAAAAAGATCAGAGTAAGGGGTATTGAGAGAGCAGGCAGAGGTAAGGGGCACTTGAGGGAGAGAGGTTAGTATTAAAGATAGGTCTCAATAAGAAAGTAGCATTTGAACCATGATTTGAAGGAGTTGCAGGAATTTATCAAGTGGATGTATGTTTCAGTCAGCGGGGACAGCTAGAGCAAGGCCCTAAGGCAGGAGCATGTTTGACATGCACGTAGAGGTCAGTGTTGGGGGAGTGAGTAAGGTGAAAACTTAGATAAGATCAGAGGTAATGGGGAGGGAAGCAGAGCAAGTGGATCCGTGAAAGCTGTTGCTGGAATCTTGCTACTCTGGGGGAAATGGGAAGCCATTACTGGATTTTGCAGAGGAGAGACATTCTGTAACATTTTGAAAGGATGACTTTGGTTGCTTGTTAAAAATAGACTCTAGGGGAGTGAGAGTAAAAGCAGAGATGTGTTAAGACAGTATTGGAGTAAATCACAGGAGAGATGATGGTGGCTCGGGCCAAAGTGGTAGCAATGAGTGATCAGAAATGGTCAGATTCTGGGAATGTAATGAAGATAGAACCAGCAGGAAACAGATCAGAAGTTCTTGGTTGGTATATAGGAAGGAGATCAAACTACTATAAGACTTTTGCATGTCGATGCCACTCTAACTTCCCAGCTTCATCTCTGATCATTCTTCTCTGCTCTACCTTCTCCTCCCACCCCCATATCCATTTTTCTGTAGGGTCATTCTAGATGACCCTTCTGGGTGATCTACTGATTAAAACTGTGGGCTCTGGAATTAGACCATCTGGGTTTGATTCCTGGCTCTTTTCGCTTTCTGCTATGTGGTCTTACCTAGCTTCTTATGCCTCAGTTTTCTCGTTTCTAGAATGGGGATGTTAATAAATAGAACCTACCTCACAGAGTGGTTTTGTAAGATTAAACAAGATAATGCATATAAAATACTTAACATAGTGCTTGGGAAGTATTAAGGTCTTCGCTGCTATTACGATTACCTCAAATTGTGTTCCTTTGGCCACGGTCTTTCCTCTGCATTAAATACTAACCTCTTCTATACCCTTCCCCTATAGTCTACTTTTTGTTTTTATTTTGTTTCTGAAATCCATATGACAAAAATTTTTGAGGAAATAAAAAAATGAAATCAAACCATCCATAATAGGGGCGCCTG